AAGCTCCCTCCATGCCACGGCGCACTCATGGCCAGGAGCGGAAGACTAATCTAGATCAAGTCCGTCCTCCGATCGGTGCCCATCCGTGCGATGATAACTGAAACCTTTGGCCTGGGCGCGCAAGGAGAGTAGATTTATCTGCCGCCGGTTCTTTTGGGCTGGTGCCGACCAGTCAGTACGAGGGAAGTGCATGGTAGATTGGGGACATGCTGCAGACCAACGGAGCTCGGGCGGGCTGGGGATCACGGACATCAAGCTGACGGGTTACGCCCTGGCTATGGCTGCAAAAAGCCGACCAGGACAGAGCTTGGAGCCAACTGCCGATCTAAAGATATGCCCCCAGTGCAAGCTTTTTTCAAGGCGTCCATGTACTCGGTTAAATCGGCAGCGGAAACGAACGTTCTTCTGGGAAGATAGATGGCTCAACGGAGAGTCGGTTCCTGGGCGAGTTCGCGCCATGCCTTCTGTTTCGGTACCGCAAGCAATCCGTAGGTCGACAAAAGTGAGCATGGCCATGAACAACAGGATTTGACGGAGCTTCACCGGTGGAATGTCCATGCGGCGATCATCGATTTTCGCACCTATGGCAACCGGCTTTGAGGGCGGCGTCGGTGGACCGGAAAAGCGAGTCAAATAAATTATAATTTGGGCGGCGAAAGCGGAGTACACGGCTAAATCGGCCTATACAACTTGTTGCCTGCGCTGGCTCATCTCATTCCCGGCCACAAACTCATTTGGAAAACATGGACACCACTCAAAGTAAAGATCTTCCTATGGTGGCCATGCATCGTGAGCCGGACGGGGCAAAGAGAAGAAGACATGGTCTTTATTGGGAAAGCGCTACCTCGGTACCACCGAGACTATCAACTATATCATGGGACTTGCCCCTTTACGAGAGAGATATGGTTTTGGTGCTCGGGTGAAATCAATCGCCTAGGCGCAGCACCACCTTGGCTGGTGGTTGAAATTAGCATTTGCATCTGTGACTCTCAACACACTCTTTCGTACTCGTGTCTTAAATGGAAGGAGCATCGGATGGCAGCGGTGTTTGTAGTGCTTGTGACTTCCATCGCCGAGACGCCCACATGATCAAGATTAGCGCAGGAGCTCGTGGGCCACTACATATAAAGATCGCATTTGCTCTTCTAATCGAAACTTGATGTGCTTAATTACAATGTAGTCACCAAACAATTGTCACTGCCATCTCGACATTCTTGTAATATAAACCTTCCTTCTTCTCTATGTCGTACTCGTGCAGCATAAGAATAAAAAAAAAAAAAGAAGAAAAAAAGATTCTATCGGTCTTTCTCTCCGCGTCTCGCATCTCGCGACTCTAAGAGCCAACCCCCACCCGGATGGTTTGGCTGGTCCCCCTCCGGCATATCACCGGAGGCCCAAGGAGTGGGGATCCATCGTTTTTGATAAGTTTTTCCACTAAATTGAGTCCTTAGGATTAGTCTCTCCATGCAAGTTTTTTTTTGTTTTAGAGATTTATTTCCTCCTCCTCTCCGGCGACGGTGAGAGAGCAGGATGGAATCGTTTTCTCCATGGCGGCACTGTTGAAGATGAGGGCGACAACTACGGCGTCAGCATCCTCACCGGTATGACGACATGAAGACTTTTATTTCCGGACGGCGACATCAAGATGGAGATGGTGTCGCCACCATGGAATAATTTTCTCCAGTCTCTTCTCTGTTTTATTGTTGTTAGATCTGCCCACGATGAAAGACTCTGGAGAATAAGTTTCAGATCAATTTTCCTCATTCTTCGGTGGTAGAAAGATGGAAAAGACTTTGGTTGGAGAATGATTTTATTGGTTTATTGTGAGAGAAAAATATTGTTATGGTGTGATAAGCTCTCCCATTTGAAACCCTCATTCTTCGGTGGCAGAAAAAAAGAAGGAAGACCCCAGAAAGAAGAAGATTCTCAACTCCACCTACATGAATGTTGACCGTCGTTCGTTGGACATTTTTTCTAGACCTTTTGCCGAGTATTTGCTGTGCGGTCATCCATACTGCAGAGCGTAGTACATGTTTAGTTTTGAGATCTGGAGCTATTCATAGCGTAGTTATAATTTAGAAAAAAATAGTTTCTAAATATTTGTATAATCTATAGTGCTTATAACGTATTGATGTACCCAACTATTATCTAATATAATTCTTCCTTTGTTGCAAAAAAATATATTTCAATTTGAATCCACACGAATAACAAGCTAGTAGCTCGCCCTGCTTGAGCCTTGCCAGAATTGATTGATTGACCGACTAATTTACTACTCCATCTATTAAAAAAAATAAAAAAATACAATTCTAGCATAATGTCATTTTTAATATCTTAATTTAACCAATTATAAATAAAAGGTTGTTAATATTTATGATATTAAATAAATATTATTAGATTAATTATAAAATATATTTTTATAATAAATTGATCTCAAAGCTATAAATATAAATATTATTCACTGGAAACTTAGTTAAACTAAAAAACTATGGGTTCTTTCGTTTTACCGTCCCAGCGTCGTCGTTGCTCGATGGCCTGTGGACGAGCGGCGGGCAGGTTGTGGATCCGCAGGCCCCGGCGCCCAGGCTGCGGACGTGCTGCCGCCTGCCGGCGACGCTCCATTCTCCCGACGGGTGGCGGCGCTAATTGGCGAAATCCAATGGTCAGGATGCCAAATTGGAGAAGCCTAATCTTTGAACTGGCAAATCGGCAATACATTGGGCTTTGAAAAGCAAGTTCATTTAAAAAAAATGAAAATTAAAGTAGCGTGTGACATAGGAAGTATAGGCCAGGGGGTATACATAGATAACACACATTCTTTGCCGCTTCTCCACTCAAACGACATGGCTAGCGCCATGATATTCCTTGCAGCCTCGCAGCGCCATTCCAGGCCGGCCGGCTTGCTTGACAAGTTGACTAATTTCTTTGCAAACACCGAACATTTTGAGATCCAAGCTGAATGCATAGGCTAACACTAAACCTAACATGTAATTGTATTCTAGGGCGGCTACAGAGCTGGCGGGGGACCAAGAGCAACAGGGCGCAAAGCAGCTAGCACTCAGGCCTGCCCAAATTAAAACCTGTTAAATTTGCTTGCCTAGATTAAGTGTCCATGATCCTCACATCTGTCTTTTCTGAGACGTGCTGGGAGAGAGCTAGCTACATCATATTCACTCACTCACTCACCATATTTTATCTGAGATTTGTCGCTGTCTTCTTCGCTTTTTCTCCATGTTGTTGGAGGCTAATCTTTCCCTAATCCAACGCTTTTGGGAAGAACGTGCTGGGATTGGATCATTCAAAGAAAGCCGTTTTTGGAACGTGTAAGTACTGTGTTATTGGTGGCACGCGTCCTATAGCTCTGGGTGCAACAGCTGAATGGGGGTGTCGTAATGCTTGTTTTACTCTCGTTTCAGGACACTAGCTAGTTTTTGCAGCAGGACGCAACACTACGCTGCAATCTTGTCTCTGTTCGGATCGTAAGCGCAAAGAGTTTGTACTTGTCTCTAACCTCCACCATTTTGGGGGGCGTCGCTTTGCGAGATTTTATTCTCCAAATCTGTTGCTAGCTTTTATCTGAACATATGCTGGATCATAACGGTGCTTTTTTTTAATGGAACACTAGTTATTATTTAGTTTTGCACTTTCACGGCAAATATTTTACTACTGCTACATACTACTTGCGGTTATAATACCTTGCAAAGTGGGTGAGCATTAGCTTAGTGCTTGTTCCATCATCCATAAACACATGACTGAACTGGTGTTGCATATATATAGCTGCTGACCAAATCCCATTGAGCTGTGCTTGCATGCGGATCAAAATTCAGAAATACTCTACTCCCAAAAATGCCAAGATAGGTGCTGCCGAAAAAAGAAGGAAACACAAAGCAGAAATGTCTAACCTCCACCATGCGGGGGCGTCGCTTTAGGAGATTTTATAGATTCCAAATCTTTTGCTAGCTTTTATCACATTAAATATTTTGGATCATAACGGTGTATTAAATTTAGATGGAATAACTAATTATTATTTAGATTTTAAACTTTCACGGCAAATATTTTACTACTGCTACATACTACTTGCGGCTATAATCAAATACTTGCGAAAGTGGGTGAGCATTAGCTGAGTGCTTGTTCCATCATCCATAAACACATGACTGAACTGGTGTTGCATAGTATATCCAAGTTTGCTGACCAAATCCCATTGATTTTGTGCTTGCATTGCGTAGATAAAAAATTCAGAAATACTCTACTCCCAAAAAAATGCCAAGATAGGTAATCTTTTAAGTCTAGTTAGTCCATAAACACAAAAAGAAATCAAATCTGGCCCATGCGTTACAATTGCGACTAGCTTTGCTAGCTAGGTAGACATGGACGGAGCACACATTTCAAGTACCGAGGATTTAGAGACTTTTCACCGTCTTAAGCGGGAGACACGGGACGGAAATTAAACCGCTGACTGGGAACATGATTGTTGATTGACATTTGAAATCTGAAATCAGTTACTGTTTCTGGTCACCGCAAAAGTTGGAAACTTGTAGTGATCTTTGCTGTCACAGCGCAGTAAATCGTTGCAAGATTCAAACCGACTGACTGTAAAAACTGATACTGCAATACTCTTCCTCGAGCCGACAGTGCACCAACACCTGGGTCAGCTTGATCGGGACCTGCAGGAAGCGACTCACAGCCAGCGCCTTCACCGTCGCCGTCACCCGCTCCGGACACCCCGCCTCCAGCCTCCGACACCTTGTCCCGACCGCGTGCCGACGGGTCACATCAGGTCGATCTGGACCGTCCAAGGATTCCTCACACACGTGCTGCCGCGGCCCGGGCCGTCGGATGCCCGGTCCCGCGGCACCCGCGCCTCGTACAAATAGACTCGCGTTGCCGTCGAGCAGCCGCGGCTGACCCGTCATTCACTCATTCTACTCGTGGTCTCGAGCTGTGCCAGCCGCGGCCAGAGTATAGTATACTAGCCCACAAAGAAGTAACCCGTCACGCTCCAAATGCAGCTTCTTCCGCGCCTCTGCACGGCCACCGGCACCGGCACCGGCGACGGAGACGGGAACGGCAACAGCAGCGGTAACAGCAGCAAGCTGGGCACCGCGGTGTCGTCGTCCTCCTCGTCGACCGTCTCCACGTCCTCCGCTGCTGCGGCGGCCGTGTCGGAGGCGTCGTCGTCCTCGACGTCCCTCCCTTCGCTCCCTTCGCTCTCTTCAGCGACGAGCGCCAGCCTCGCCGCGTCCTTCGCCCACGTCACCACGCTCCTCCCTCTGCCCGCGTCGTCGTCCGCTGCCGTCGTCGCGGCGGCGGCGGCGGGGGACTCCCTCCACGGCTGCCTCGTCGTCGTGGCGCGGCCGGCGTGCGTGGCGCTCCACGACCTGTCGACGCTGGAGGCGACGTCCACCTCCGACGCCGCGGACGCCGCCGCGGACGCGGGCTCGGTCAAGTGCGTGGCGCACCTCCACGGCGGCGGCGCGGCGGCCGCCGCAGCCGTGACGGGCCACCAGGACGGGCGGCTGCGCCTGTGGCGGGTGTCCTCGCGCTCGCCGGGCAGGCTCCGCCTCGCCGCGGTGCTCCCCACGGTGTCCGATCGCCTCCGCCGGTTCCCCGTGCCGTCCAACCACGTGACCGTGCGGCGCCACCACCGCCGGCTCTGGATCGAGCACGCTGACGCCGTGTCGGGCGTCGCGGCGTCCGCGGACGGGCGCCTCCTCTTCTCCGTCTCCTGGGACAAGACGCTCAAGGTGTGGGCGCTGCCGTCGCTCCGGTGCCTGCAGTCGCTGCCGGCGCACGACGACGCCGTGAACGCCGTCGCCGTGGCGCCCGACGGCACCGTGTACACGGCCTCCGCCGACAAGCGCGTCCGCGTGTGGGCGCCCGGACGCCCCGACAACAAGCCACCGCCGTCGTCCCGGCGCGCGCGCGGCAAGAAGCACCACGTCTACCACCTGGTCGCCACGCTGTCCCGCCACACGGCGGCGGTGAACGCCCTGGCCGTCGGGTGCGCGGGCCAGCAGCTCTACTCGGGCGGCAACGACCGGTGCGTCCTGGTGTGGGAGCGGGAGGACAGCGCCAGCCACATGGTCGCGGTCGGGGCCCTCAGGGGCCACCGCCGGGCCGTTCTCTCCGTCGCGTGCGCGCCGGCCGGGCTGGTCGTCAGCGGGTCCGCGGACCAGACGGTGCGGGCCTGGCGCCGCGCCGCGGACGGTAGGGATTACGCCTGCGTCGCCGTGATCGACGGCCACAACACCGCCGTCAGGTCTGTCGCGGCGGCGCCTCTGCCGTCGATCCAGAAGCGGTCCCGCGCAGGCGGTGACGATGCGGACGGCGGCGAGGAGGAGTGGAGGGTGTGCAGCGCGAGCTTCGACGGCGAGGTGCGGGTGTGGTCGCTGCGTGTGTCGGGTTTGTAGTTGGTACGATTTGGCGCAATTTTTTGACGTAGGGCAGCAGTGTATTTTTTTTCTTACTACACTGTCACTATACACCAGTTTTGGTTTGGCTTTTGAATACGGCACGCCGTCGTATTGTACGTTTGTGTAAATACAGAAGAGAGTGTTGGGTGTCTAGCTACATTAATTTTTATGTTCTTGCAAATTTGTTGAGAAAATTCTACATTTTTTTTCACCTGTGGTTTACCGTTTGCTACCTTTCGTAAATTTTTACCGCTTCTGATAATTGTTTATCGACAAAAGTGGGCAAGACAGCAGGAAAAACATCCCGGTTGCTTGTTTAGGTCGATGTTCCACTGTCGATCGTTCCTTTTCAAAAACAAAAGGGAAACAACTATCCGACTGCCAGTGGCTTAGCCTCAGTTTGCGTTCCTCGCCGACCAGCTTCGAGTCCTAGACTCGGGCTCGCAAACGCACAACGCATGTATCAGGCTGAAGATGTTTGAGCCTGCATTTTTTAAAGCATCACATCGATGCCTTGAAGTCTTAAATATATCGCTGGGGCAACTGGAGCTGGAGAAATCTTTCGCCCTAATTGCATAGGTGAGGTGAAGTAAATATAAAACGAAAGTCACGCATTTAGTGGTTTTGGCGTGGCTGATTGGGAATTGGACGTGAGAATATAAATGTGACGCGAAAAAAAACTAATTCGTTCGTCGGGAAAGAAATCGCGATCGTAAACTTTTTCAAACCTAATTAGTTCATAATTAAACACTAATTGTTAAATACAAACGAAAGTGCTACAATAGCCAAAACCTAAAAAATTTTGCATCTAAATGCGCCCTTAGTGTGTTGGTGTGTGTTTCCGACTGCCATCTTGTCAGTCAAAGGCAAACTGCTGGTCCTTGACTACGATAACAGTTAATTTGATTCTGTCACCTTTTTCGACGAGCTACCTCTGCTTCGCAAGACGGATTCCGCCGATTTCAGCTTCAATTTTGCCTCCAGCGCTACTAAAAATATTATCCAGCACGAAATGAAAAAAAAAAACCTTTCGGCATCATCCGAAAAAATGCAACATAAACTAAGCGAAAGACCGGATAACGAGATTCTGTCACCTTTCTCGACGAGCTAATCATCCACGCCATGCTTTTCTTTATGTTCCGCCGTTCAGCTTCAATTTTGCCTCCAGCGCTACTGCTTCTCCAGCACCAAATCAAACCTTTCGGCATCATCCGGGATGCAACAGGCGACCTCGGCTGCATCTCTGTCAGTGTCAACCAAGGCCTACGCGTATAGCGCTAGTACGTACCCAGCTTACTATTTTGTAAACAGTCTTGTAAGAAAACAAATAATAAGGTATAAGGAGCTGCGTACGTGTGGATCCAAAGTGGTTCTATGATTTTTCATGGGCTAGCAGTGTATGTTGAGGTATCGGTTTCCAACTCGCATAGCTCCAGTGCATGCATGTAATGCCTCCATAGTTCTACCTACCTATCTTTGAAAGGCGTGAATTTTTAACTTCATTTATAGTTATACATATGGAGACCAAACTAATTTCTTTTAACTTCGATTTTAAATTCATTAGTAAGTTTAGGGATAACTAATTAAAAAATAAGGATTGCATGATATTACCCTGAAATTTATTCCTCCAAAAATAGTTTGATGGCTTTCTGATTGTAATTCTTTTAACTTGTGATAGTAATTCTTTATGAACTTTATAATTACTCTAAATTTATATTGTCTCAATGTCTTTTGCATCTTTACTTGAAGATGAGTTTGTTTAGTACAAGAACTTCAAGTTTATAGTGGCTATATATGATAATATTGCTTCATTACATTTGACTACATGTATTGGTCTTCTTTTGTACAGACGGAACACTATTTAATTAAGAAGATCAATTTTTTAAAAAAGTAAGAAGATCACTTGTATATATGTGGACAAAAAATATTTAAACGTAGGCAGTACAAGCGTGGCATAATTTTTTCTTTAAATTTAGATCGTTAGATAATCTATATTTGTTTTTTCTGATTATTAGTTTCATAGTTTACAAGCTAAGGCCTTTCAGCAAACATGAGCTTATTTTAATACTTGTACATCGTATAGATCTTGAGCTATTTTTCAGCCATGGAACATTATTTTTCTCTCACAATATTTTAGCATAAGTATTAGTATAAGCCAAATTTCAGCATAAGCCAACAGGTGGTTGATTCTATGTTTGTTAACGCGACATTTCCGTAAGATGGCGCCGTTAGGCTTTGGCAAGTTCTTCAGGTTAAGCATCTCCATTGTCAGCATTTGTACCGAGGATCATTGTTAATGTTATCCTTTTGTGTGTTGTCCACTGGCTGCAGTTAACCATGAAGGTGGATGACAACAAGCTACGTATCTACTGCAGCTTTTTGAAAACAGCAACCATGCAGATTTGTGGCACATCAGCGATATACCAATCTTTATGTCACGCTATAACTAGACGCTACGCTGTGTTGTAGACAGGGAATTATTTTGGGAGAATTTCTTATTTGACATCAGAGAAATGACTTTTTTTTTGAGAGAAAAATATCGTTCCCTTATCTTGGCTGATAAGCTTTGACAGTTCTTATCGAAACTCAGTTTTTTTCCAAGAAGGTGGATGACTGCTTTTTGATGAGGTGGATGACAACTCAGTTGACACATGTACCCACCTGCTATTTGAAAACAGCAACCATGCAGATTTGTGGCACATCAGCGATATACCAATCTTTATGTCACGCTATAACTAGACGCTACGCTGTGTTGTAGACAGGGAATTATTTTAGAGCCCCTATATTTATACATGTTAGAAAAAGGATAAGTAAATCTTAGAAACCACTCCGTTCCTTCTAATTTATAAGTTATTTTGGTTTTTTTATACATAGTTTTTTTTCCTGATACACTTTTTTGGTACGTAGATTTTGACGTAGAGAGTGGGAGTAGTATCATGTCCTCCTGATCTCAAAATTAATAGGTATATGCCTCTTAAACTTTAGTCGCCTAAATTTAGTTCATTTTAGTCATTTTGGAGCCAAACACTATGACTAAAAGGGACTAAAAGACATTTAGTGATCTGGTACGTAGATTTTGATGTAGAGAGTGGGAGTAGTATCATGTCAATCTGGAACTCCTTATCTCAAAATTAACAGGCATATGCCTCATAAACTTTAATCATATAAATTTAGTCCCTTTTAGTCATTTTGGAGCCAAAGAGTATGACTATGACTAAAAGACATTTAGTCATCTAGTCACCAAATTGTGACTACAAGGAACTAAAAGGCCAAAAGGACAGGGGCTGCCCCTCATCAATGCACTCTAGGTCCCCCTGACCCCTCTGCTCGTGCACCGCACCGACGCCCGCGCGCCGCACCGATGCCCATGCGAGGCTCGGGGATGCCGCCGGTGGGCTCGATGACCCTGTGGCGTCGCGCGACGAGGTGGAGGGATGAGCGAGACGGAGGGGCGAGCGCGACGGAGGCGAGCGCGGACGGAGGGGAGGCCGCTGGGGTCGCTGCGTGGGAGGGAGCCACTGGAGGGGGGAGCCGACCGGGGTCGCCAGATCGTGAGGATGCCGACCACCATGGCCGCCGTCGGGGTGGGGGAGACCGCCATGGCTGCGCGTCGAGGTGGAGGAGGGAGTGCGTCGAACTTGGGGGAGGAAGCGCCCGCCGTGGGGGAGTTAGCCCGCACGGGGTGGGTGTGCTCGCCGCTAGGCTAGGGTGGGGGACGGAGCCGCTCGGGTGAGTCGCGGGATTGAGGTGGAAGAGGAAGAAGAAGATAAAAAGGGTATTTTGGTCTTTATATAGTAGCTTTAATGTCCTTTAGTCCTCTTTAGTCCCTAGAACTAAATAGGCTAGGGCTAAAGTTTAGTCTCCAGGGACTAAATGAAACCAAACATGCCCTTAGTTTAGGGGGTGTTTGAGACGGCTCCGCTCCACGTTTTTTAGCCAAACGGTTTTAGCTCCACGCACTCTGTTCGAGGAAAAAAGGTAGAGCTATGAGAGCATCTGAATGGAACTCTAAATTTTTTTTAAGCTACTCACCAGTAGAGTTTATGGAGCGAAGTTCGTGGAGCAGTACCAAACACCCCTTCCGTCTGGGCGATCAAAGCCAGGCTATTAGTAGCTGCTAGCTTAGCTAGGCGACAAACTGAGAGTGGCTGGCAGAGTTGCATGGAGTTTAATTCTGCGTTGCGCTGATTAGACGTTGACAGAGCTAGGAGGTCGCTGCGGTTGGCCGAATCCACTGAGCACTGCAAGAGTGGAAGTAGTTTTTTAAGCTCGTGTTCCACTAAATGACGTCTCCACGTTCTTGTAATCACATATTCTAATTCAATTAGTTAGTTAACTATTAGTTGGGTCAATCAATCTATCAATTCTGGACAGTTCTGAAGGCTCAAGCAGGCCGAGCTACTAGCTGGTTATTCGTGTGGATTCAACAAATTCAAATGTTGTTGAGATACGACAAAGTGTTTATATATGCTTTAATTCGAAGATCGATATGGTGGGGGCGTAGGCAACTTGCTAAATGCAAATGCGATGTGTATATGTAGTGGAGTGTCAGCTAAACCATCCGATCCTACTTGCTCTGTTAATTTAAGAAAGGTGCGAACACTGTGTGTATATCTTCAACTAGTAGGTATCAAAACAAATGTGTCAAGAAAATACAAAAATGAATATGAACTCTAGCTATTGAATTTAATTATCTGCCTACGCAAGTGTACACACAATAACCAACAGTAGAGAATAATAGCCGGTGCGTGGAGACATAAAAAAATGAGGAAATGGACATATCTGAGAGTTCTTTAATTTGTCTCTTTTTTCCGTTCTATATCACATTTTGAAAATGCGTGTGTGTGAGAGAGAAAATGAATCTAATGAAACGCACTGCATCTACTATTTTAGTAATTGGACAAACAAAAGAAACTCCTTTTAAAAACAAACAAAAGGAAATCATGATACTTGGATTATGTCAAGTGATTTTGAAGTTTATTTTTTCATGACATCCT